ATTCATTATATATATATATATATATATATATATATATATATATATATATATATATAATTAATTTTTTTACAGGATGCTTTACAATAATTGAATATATATTTAATATATATATAAATAAAATATCAGAACATCCAAGTTCTCCAACTCCTGTTTTAGCTTGATCAGGATATTTTTGACTTAATAAAAAAAAAATTCTTAAAACTTTTTAAAACTTAAAAAATATTTTTAAAAAGATGTTTTCATTATCGTCAGCAAATGTATTAGCTCTTTAACATTTTCTTTTGAGTATCTTTTGAATAAATTATTAATATGAAGAAGCTATATAGTTTATATTGAGTTTTAAAATGATTTTTTCACATCACAGATTTCCTAATTATAAAGTTTTAAAAGATGACAACCCCTAACAGCAGAAGTAACGGTAACAGCACAGCGATACTCGGACATATCTGGGTGATTAGCATATTAATGTACTTCATGGATTCATATTTACTTGCATCATGATACTTCAAGGAATATCACGTTACCTGCATGCTCAAAGAGCACAGTATTACCATGGTACAGACATGGCAGAACCGACTGGCTGGAGTAAACTGCCAACATAAATATGAGTGTAAACTGAAGGAATCGCGTATGTGAAGAGGTTTCCGACATCAGATGAACACATTAATAAAGTAACGTCAGTCTAGAAGCTAAGCTAACTTACCTGAACAAACTAACACAACATGAACTTTGAGCTTCAGCGGTCAAACTGATTTTAATGTTCCCGCAGCGAACACACACACACACACACACACACACACAAACAAACACACACACACATTCTTTCTCTCTTTCTCAGAAATGACAACACGATATTCCTGATGCAGACAGTCAAAAACACTGCTGAAAACTGTGCTGTGTTTTAGTGATTTACCGAACTACCTGTTTACTACGAGCGCCGGGCGGTAGTTTAGCACACAGACCGCTGATTCAGCATCTCTCCCGCTGCTTATGCTGTGTCTGAGCACACTGACAGCTGTCGCGCTTCATTTATCGCGTCTTGATCCGGATCGAGTGGAAATTCAGCACGTTTTTCGCGACAGATACCCGTGTTCAGAGTTCACGGCGCGTGACGTCACCGCGGCCGGTCCTGCCCCGTGAACGCGCTGATCTCCGGTCAGTGGCTGCTGCGGGTGCTGTTTGTTATTTCATTTAACCCTTGTGTGTACTGTTCACACTGGCTCCACTTTGGTTTTGTTGGTGCTGTTTTGGCCCCATTGGCTTCCATTATCATGGCAATTCAAATGACAGCAAATACTTTACAAACTGTATTGTAAATAAATCAAAAGAACATTTTTATATTAGTCAATAATATTACTGAAATTAACTTAAAATCTGAATAAATATACATTTTGCACATGTACACAAATAAATAAATAGACTTAATGATGGGCAAAAACTCTGTGGAAATTCCGTCTATGCCTAATCATTGGAGAGGGGTCTGGCTGCAGACTCGGTGCAGTGCAATCCAATACTTTTTAATGCGCTTACCTTTTTTAATGCATCGCTGAGTGATGCAATCTCAGCTTGCATCATAAAGGCTGCATCCAGATACTAAATCAGTTGTCAGCATTAACCCCTTTAGATAGGCCAAAATGTATGCGTATATGCGTATGTATACAAATGTATAACAATTTCAGACACTGTTCCCGGATCAGCTGCTTCAAATGAGCCACTTTTATTTGCACTTTTAAGAGCTGCAAAGCGGATCTCTGACCGTCAAACAGTGACAGCGTGTCAAAAACAAACAGTGAAATTTCTCACAGATCATCATCACACATAAATACCATAGTACATGTCCAGAAAGCAGAACAGTTTTGTTAACTAGACACAAAATACAACATTAAAACAGTTTGCTTGCACACACACACACACACACACACACATTTTCCCTGAGACATCATATTCACTCGTCTTATTCATACGTGCTCAACAAACACAGGGGTTTTTGGACCCCGAACACCCCAAAATCATCCATTTTCATTATTATTTTATTTGCTACACTTTCTAAGGTCTGTCTATCATGTTTACTGTTCCATTAAATCACATTTAGTTTTAATTTTAACACTGCATTTTAATAACTACTGCAGTGAATCTCATATAATTGAAGTCTTTATTTAACTGTTAGGTTATCTTAGTAAATGTTTGTAACTAAATTTAATAGTAATCCTTGTTTTCAGCCACTGAAATAGTCTGTATGGTTATTTGCTTACAGTGTTGGGTAAAAAATACACACTTTACACATTTAAGTCCATCTTAATCTTTAAATATACATAAATAAAAAATAACAACATACTTTTACATGACTTTCACTAAAAGTAACTTACTTTTTAAATAAATATATAGTAAATTCTAATATAAAACCTTTTTTTTTTACCCAACACTGTTTATTTACATGTTTAGTCATTGATTTATTGATGCTAATTTAATTGTTTAATTAAAATGATGCATTTTTGTTTTATTGTACAATTGATCATGTATGTGTTTTTACATTTATACAAGTCTCTCCCTTGTGTTTAACTAACAGTAGATGATAAATAACCTCTCATTACTAGAATCATGAACCAGTGACACTATTTCAAGATACACACATGTTAGAGAGCTACATGCACGAAAACAGAAGTTGAGTTGCTGAGACACAAATGCACAGTGCAACTAACAGAGTGAACGGGCAACTCAGCAGCGGGTCCGAGAATATTAATAGAGATCATGAGGCTTTAAAACAGACAGTGGGAACTGAAAGGCAGTGAAGCGGATGAGGATGTGTGTTCTGTTGTGTTGTGGTCTCTTTAATACGCTTCTACGCCACATTGATCTTCTGCAGCTCCTCCAGCAGAGCTGAGGAGTAAAACACACACACACACACACACACACACACACACACACACACACACACACACACACACACACACACACACACACACACACAGTCAGAGCAGGACCAGACCATGCTGTATTTGACTGTAAAACAGAAAAACACCACTGACCACTGATGATTTCATCCTTCACCTTCTGCAGCTCCGTGCGCATCTCATCCAGTATGTCCTGTTATCACACACAAACACACACCACAGATTATACACCACACTGCTGTTTATAAAAGCCGTTTACCAAAACTCACAGAGGCCACAGTATTTTATCTTAAAATATAAAGCAGCACAAATGATGGGATCAACCGTAGAGGACTTCTAGAGGTCTCCATAATCCTGGACCAGGCCGTATCCTGAGCACATGCTGTGGCGGTCATTAAGCTAAAGCTAAATTAAGGACTGATGACCATTATTCATCAAATTTGCAAGTATGGGGCTACTTTTGGCCTTAAGATGTTTTGTGAAGGGTCGGCATGGTGGATCAATGGTTAGCACTGTGACCTCACAGTAAAGTCACTGGTTCGAGTCTGCATGTTCTCCCCATGTTGGCGTGGGTTTCCTCCGGGTGCTCTGGTTTCACCCCAAGTCCAAACACATGCGCTATAGGGGAACTGATCAACTAAATTGGCCGTAGGGTATGAGTGTGTGTGAAGGAGTTTGTATGGGTGTTTCCCAGTACTGGGTTGCTGCTGGAAGGGCATTCTCTGCATACAACATACTGAGCCATTAAGTAAAAACAAAAACAAAAAAACAAAACAACAGTTATAGCTACTTTAAAGGAGAACATTGACGTTTTGAAAAAAAAAAAACTGAACTAAAAATAAATTATTAAAAATAAACCTGCTAGACTTAATTTATGTCCTGTGGCAAAAATATTTTTATTATACTTTTAGTGATCTGCTTAAGGTAGGTCAATTTATTTTTTTGCTTTTGATGAAGCAGCATTCCGCTTAAGCTCTTTAGACCATGCTGCTGACCGTTTCTCAGTGTTTCGCGGCAATGTCTTTAAATAAATAATTTATTTAGGCCTATTTTCATTATTGATTTCTTTTCATTATTTGTTTATTATTATGTACAATAATTGAGACATAAAATGAGATAGTAAAATATAATCAACAACGAAAATGTAAATAAAAACATAAATTAAAATGTCTTAGTCCTATCAAAATAGCAAGCACTGAACATCTTTCTATATTTAGGCTAAAAGACTGCTTTATTTATTTATTTATTTATTTATTTATTTATTTAAGACTACTTATTTGTACTGTATGTTTGTGCTTTCATTTTAGTTGTCTTTTATTTCTTCAATTCTATTTTCCAAAACGAATCCTCTTTGCACTTAAAAAGTTTACAATAAACCGTGTTAACAAAGTTTAAATGATTAATGAAGGAATTATAATGCTTTGACTTTTTTTTAAATCTCACGTACAAGCACAGTAGCATATTTAAATCTGCTGTAAAGGGTATTTCTGTCCGTTCGCATCCCGTCCCTTTGCGCCCCCTGGCAGCTTATACAAAAACTGCGGTCATATACTAAAAACAAAGCGGCAGTTTTTTAACGGCGGCGGTATATGACACGGCGGTAATAGCCACTTTGAACTATCACCTACTGTATGCTGGAATAGTTGGTGGTTCATTTCGCTGTGGCGACCTCTGATAAATCAAAGAGTCAAGGCTGATTTATAATTCTGCGGCAAACGCACGCGTATGCACCAGCACAAGCTCTGTGATTGGCAGGCTTGGCATCTTTGATGAGTGTGGGCGGGACTGAGAGCTGATACAAAGTGTGGAGTCCTGTGAAGGAGCTCCGGATGGAGACTGTTGTTTTGTGTTTACCTTATGATTAAAGTTGTTGCACGTCGGCCGGTTCCTGCCTCAAAATGAGCACGTTTGAGCCACTTGTACATTAAGGTAGCGTTAGGAAAAAAACAAAACACCAGCGAAGAAACTCGATGCATCGTGGGTCACGCCGCTCACTCAACGCAGAGGTATAAACTAGGCTTAAGCCGAAGGAAAATGAATGAATGAATGTTTTGTGAATATGGGCATAGAATGTTTCTGGATCATGACACTGTACACTGGAGTGATGATGCTTGATTTTTCGCTAAGCAGAAGAGACTTCTTTCAGAATCATGAATACACCTGGCTGGTAGTTTAGATAGAGCTGCTGACCTGCTTGAGTTTCTCCATGTCTGAAGCATCTTTGGATCCGGAGTCTCCAGTATTGCTGCCAGATCTCAGCCTGCAGAAGAATAACAGACCGTCAGCAGTGAAGCCAGAAACAGATGCACAAAACTACACACTCGACTGAAGAATATGATACCTGCTCAACGGAGCCGCAGTTGCAGGAGACACTGGACTCTTGTCTTGAGTCTTAGAGCCGGAATTCACCCTTTCAAACCAATGGAAACATGTTTGTTAACTATAAGTATAAAATATTATTAAGCTAGAGTGAACAAAACTGAAATGTAATGAAATATCTCAGGGTTGTGCATGTGGCAAATTCCCCTAAATGCAAGTCATTTCATTTGGTGACTCTGTTTGAAAAGCATCTCATGCATTCAAGTGCAGGCTGTTTAATAGGGGAACATCACATTCACCAAAACTGTTTCCAAGCTTAAAATTAAAACTCATATCTGTAATCTGGAATTAAATTTAACAACAACTGTCTCTTAAATGTTGTTACTAAATCCTCAAGTCAAAAAAAAAAACTGAACTAATTAGCATTAGCACTAATTAGCATGAGATCATGACACCAAGTATTCGCTGATATTCCAGCCTTGTTTGCAGATCCTAGAGGACTCATGACCATGAGGCTGCTGAAACTGTCTAAAGAACAGATATCTGGTGAGCCTCTCCCTCAGAGAATCCTCGGTCTAAGGAGGGGCTTCATTCTCTAGAGCGGCCATATTGACCTTTACATTTTTCCCTATTCAAAACTTTACGAGTGACACATCTTGTGTAATCTAAAGTCTTCCATGTAATCCAGTAACCAATCTGTGGATATACATCCAGGGGCTCAAAGGGCTATAGGAAGTCTCCTGCACTGGAGTTTTGAGTGGAAGAGGGGACAAAATGTACAGAATAACCAGGTTATGAATTAGCAATATCAAAACAAGAGTGGGCAACTGACAAGACCTGCAAGTCTTCCAGTGTTTTAATAATAGTCTGTCACTCTAAGTTTAAAAGAAACATACGATAACAACACTTTCGACACAGTAGCAAGAACCTAGGAAGGTGTCATCTAAGCTATCTGAAGCCACAGAAGAGGACACAAGTAGATGCTTCACGATAGAGACCCTGCTGAAGTGAATCTGGCAAATCAATGTCACAGCTGGACCAGTCTCACTTAGAGAGAGGCTCTTGGAAAACTTCTCAATCTAAACCAAATGGTTTACCGATTCAAGTGCTGCTCTTAGAGCAAAGCCTTTTAGTTGAGGGAGCTCTATCCCTGAGAATGATATCTACAGCTTCAGCTCAGGGAGCAAAGTTTATGAGTTTGTTCCCTTTCAAGCAACTGGATCTCTGGTAAGGGGTGAAAGATTGTACCCGATTTGTACCTGGGACAATAGGTCCTTCCTGGGTTAAATTGAGTGAGAACATAGAGAGCCTTCCAAGGTACAGACAGAGTCTGAAAACCACACTCAAGGTGGTCATATGAGGCTCCAGACTCAAAGAGTAAAGTGACTGGTACAGCCACATCTGTACCATGGTGTCCAACCATGTTCCATATTTCTATATAAAAGTCATCATTCAGTCTTCAAGTCATGGAGGTCTAATTCTCAGTATGAATGGAAACATAAAAAATAAGCTAAAATAGAAAGCCTAGAACAGGGGTGACCAAACCCAATCCTGGAGTGCTTAAGTCCTGCAGAGTTTAGCTCCAACCCTAGTCAGACACACCTGAAGCAGCTAATCAACCTCTTGCCAGGTAAACTAGAATCTATGAAGCAGGGGTTGTTCTTAAACTCAGCAGGACACCAACCAGAAACTAAAACAAAAACTACACTAGAATATAAAGAATTGTAAAAGCCCTGTATTCATGAAATGCAAAGATCATCAAGCATCAGAGATCTGCAGATGTTACCGTGTCACTGAGGACGGTTTCTCCCAAGGCTTCTTCACCACGTCTGTTCGGGAAACATATAGCATATTTCAGAGAAACGTGATATATTTGCTGTAGACGGGACGTGCAGCAAGATCACGATTACAAAGTGATGTTATAATGAGCGTTCTCACCTGCAGCTTTGGAGTCATTGCTTGCTGAATCACCCTGAAAACAGAGAGATCATGAGATCGGACTAACTCACACACAGACATCATTCAATCCCGAACAAACTTACAGACGATTCTTCCTTCTTCACCACTGGAGTGTCAGCAACTTTCCTTCTGTAATGCACACAGATTAATATATTTAAAGATGAGCAACAACAATAGCAAAGACAGAAGTTGAGCTGCTTTGTGCACAGATAGTCACTGAAGTTGCTGCCACTACAATAAACAGACGTCTGTGACGGAAGCAGCAATATTTTGATAACCTCTCTTAAATTTAAAGAACTGGTCACATTCTGAGTAGGTGGTTTTAAACTTAATACTCATCAAGCCCAAACATATAATTATAGTGGCATTGAACGAACCGTCGAGCAAGAATTGCGCTCATTTCACCCATCAGTCCACCTCCGCCTCCACCTCCACCTCCACCTCCACCTCCACTGCTGCCTCCACCTCCACCTCCTGAACTGGCACTCGCTGCAGGAGCTGGTCCTCCACTGTCATCCTGCACAGACAGAGACAAAACAGCAGATGTTTTGAGTTGAGCCATCTTAAACAAGTCTTTCTCAAAGGCTCCTATTATTAAAACAAAATCTGTGAAGGCATCATAGTTTATAGTTTCTTACTCTGAATTAAAATAATGAAAATCCCCGAATTTCATAAGTTTTAAGTGGTGAGGGACCTTCAAAGTTTCCTAGTTGCTGCGTGGTTAGTTTGTTGGGTCAGTTATTTCGATGTTGGATGTTTTTTGTGCAGCTCAGCGTTTGGGCAAGTGCATTCTCCATTTCTCCTTAACATAACACACCAGAGGTGGAATTACCAACCCCAAGCTTTTTCATCCACTTCATTAAGTAGAGTTTATTTATAAACTGATGTGGAGAGGATCAGGTGCTTATGATTGATCACAGCTGGTGCTGCATTATTAAATTAATGATTGACCAATCAGACGATTCTTAACCCACTATAAACACCCTCAGCTCCATATCACAGCCGTCTTGGTTTTGAAGAATCCCCCTTCCACCCCTGCTCCTTCTCCTTTCCTAGATGGGTGGCACGGTGGCCCAGTGGTTAGCACTGTTACCTCACAGCAAGAACGTCACTGGTTCTAGTCCTTACCAAGCCAGCGGACGTTTCTGTGCTGAGTTTACACACTTTCCCCATGCTTACGTGGGTTTCCCCCCGGTTCCCCTGTTTCCTTCCACCGTCCAAAAGCATGCAGCTTAAGTTAATTGACTAATCCTCATCAGCACATAGACATGCTGCTAGTCAGTAGCTTTCTCTAAAGAGCGATCACTATCTGTTCATTAGCTACTACAGCAGGGGAGATCTCCACATCTACCTAGAACCAGTGACGTTCTTGCTGTGAGGCTACAGTGCTAACCACTGGGCCACCGTGCCACTCATCTAGGAAAGGAGGAGGAGTAGGGGTGGAAGGTGGGATTCTTCAAAACCAAGATGGCTGTGGTATGGAGCCGAGGCTATTTATATTGGTATAGGAATCTTCTTATTGGTCAATCATAAATTAGATAATGCAGCACCAGCTGTGATCAATCATAAGCACCTGATCCTCTCGACATCAGTTTATAAATAAACTCCACTCAGTGAAAAGGTTCAGATTCAGTGCCGTTTAGCACCACCTTATATAATGAAAGAACACAGCTCTTGAACTGGCCAATCCTAGAAAGCTGTGTTATTCAAAGAAGCGGCAATGTTATTTCCCCATAGCATCAGCTGAAAACAAATGTCTAGTTCCCTTTATTCTGTTACAGTAAGTTGCACTGAGGTGTTTTAATAATTTTATCTTATTGTACAGCTTCTTTTCTCTTTTTTTAAGCAATCCCAAGCCATATAGGTTAGTCTGGTGTTGTTGTGTGTCATAGTCTTGGTCTAATTCTGGGTTCACAGCTAATGAGATTTTAAGTATTTTCGTAGATTCCATTCAAAGTCAATGCAAGTATGTGAACGGAGGTAAATGTTGAACAAAAGCTCAAACAGTCATCATATTACACAGCACATATGGATGATGTAGATTTGGTCTGACTCACCTTGGCTACCTTGCGTAGTTTAGCTCCAGCGAGCGCAGAGGCCAGACCTCCATCTCCCCCTCCTCCTCCTCCACCTCCACCACCGCCTCCTCCTCCAGATGGTGGGGGCGGTGCTGGCGGGGCTCCGCCTCCTGAAGGAGGTGGGGGTGGGGGTGGGGGTGGTGGTCCTGGAGCAGGGGGAGGTCCAGGAGGTGGAGGCGGACCAGAAGCTGGAGCAGGAGGAGGAGCAGAAGGCGGAGGCGGGGGAGCAGACGCCCGCCTCTCTCTCTCCAGACGCTCCTGCTCTTGTCTCTCTCTCTCCTGCTGCTCCTGTCTGCACATGAACAAAAAAGTACATGAACACAAATAAATGCACAAGTGCGCGCTCACACCGCTGGCGGCGAGAGGATCAACGTAGCCGGAAGTCATTCATTTTCTTGCCGGTGGCAAGAAGTGGTCTGGTGTGTCTACAGCAGTGTGGGCATCAAGGAGAGTTGAGATCAAGTCAACTCTATGGTAGTTCAACTATGATGCAGTTCGGCGGCAACCAGTGGTGGTAATCAGAATATAGAAGACCACCGGTTGAGAGGATGCCAGAGAACACAGTCCTGTGCTCTTTGGTTCCGACCACAGTTGTTCCCAAGGGTTAGATTATTGAGATAGCCAGATGTCCAATTATTTAATAACTAATATTAATTACAATTATTGCTTACGGCGGACGCGGTGGTGCAGTAGGTAGTGCTGTCGCCTGTCAGCAAGAAGGTTGCTGGTTCGAACCTAGGCTGAGTCAGTGTGTGTTTCTGTGTGGAGTTTGCATGTTCTCCCCGTGTTGGCGTGGGTTTCCTCCGGGTGCTCCGGTTCCACAGTCCAAACACATGCGCTATAGGGGAATTGGGTAGGCTGAATTGTCCTTAGTGTATGAGTGTCAATGAGTGTGTGTGTGGATGTTTCCCAGAGATGGGTTGCAGCTGGAAGGGCATCCGCTGCGTAAAACATATGCTGGATAAGTTGGCGGTTCATTCCACTGTGGCGACCTCTGATTAATAAAGGGACTACGCCGAAAAGAAAATGAATGAATGAATTATTGCTTACAGGGACATAAATAAAAAAGATTACTGGCGAGGTACTGATGCACATTAATGTTATACTTAAAAAAAAAAAAAGGAATCGCATGCTAACACTACAAAACATTATCAATGCTTCAGAATATTCCAGAAATATGGACACCATATTAGAAAGTTGGAGCAAAGTCCCACCGCATGCAACAACTTGATCTTCAATAGTTAAACTAATTTGATTAGAGGTGCTCAACATCGATGATCTGGCGATCATACCTCCTCTTCTGCTCCAACTCCTCAGCGCTCGGACCATTCTGCGGCGGTCGGGGAGGAGGCGCACACACACCTGAAACACAGAAACCAAACCCACGATCAGTATCTCCACACACCCTGAGCTCCAAGAACTTTAATATAAAACTTTGGAATAATTTTCCTCTCTATGTTGGGCAGGAAAACCCTGTCTGTTTTTAAATCTAGTCTCATAATGATGGGTTGTTCTGTAGACTATCGAAAACAAATGTAGCTTAAAGGGGCGAATAATATTGACCTTAAAATGGTGTTGAAAACTGCTTTTATTCTAGCCGAAATAAAACAAATCAGACTTTCTCCTGAAGAACAAGTATTATCAGACATACTGTGAACATTTCCTAAATCTGTTCAGCATCATTTGGGAAATATTGAAAACAGAAAAAAAATTCAAGGGGGGTGAATAATTCTGACTTCAGCTGTACACGCACTTTGAACACCCGCTGGACACTCTTGGACACATCTGCACATCTCAAGCACGTCTGTTTCACTGATCCTCTGTTATATGCTGCATGCTTGTACAGCGCTCTGGTAAACACTTGATGTTTTTAAAAGTGCTTCATAAATAAACATTGTGGTCAGTTGATGGTGATGATCTCACCAGCGTCTGTGTTTCCGCTGAGCATGTCCAGAGCCTGCATGATCCCGCTGGCGAACTGAGACGCCTCCTCTTTACTGCCGAAATTCAGACCCCAGACCTGCCGCGCATCCCGCCACTGGTGAAAAGTCGGCGTAGCCTGGTTATATTTCATCCCTCGAACCAGCGGACAGTTAATGACCACCTGAGGGGACACACAGAGGAGCCAATGACACCTGCACACACACACACCTGAGCCACAGCTGACAGCAATGGGATGAACTGAGGGTAAATGAAGGTTATACAGCGCACTGTTGATTGCAGAGCTCCACTATTAAATAAAAAGAAGAAAAAACCCTACAAGTTCTGAAACAGATCAAGCCTCAGCAAAGGTACGAAAGATTAACCTAACGCAATACTGACCACAAAAAGTAACGCAAATATTGACTTTTTGTGGGAGTAACTCAATATTGTAATGCATTACTTTCAGAAGTAACCAACACAGGTGCATTCTGAAAACAGAGCCCTGTACATAACTGGAGATCGCGAATCACGTAGCCAGAGGTACAGTGCGTATGCATATGATGCCGTTTCTTTTCCTGCTTACCAGCTGACCACTTATCTCTTTATGGACGGCTTTCCTGCTGTTAGCAGTTTGTCCAGTGGCTCGACACGTATGTCGGCAGACTTGAGATGCAGTCCGGTAAAGAGCGGTCCCAGAAAGCAGGTAAGACAAAAAAAGAAGCCAAGAAATTAAATAAACAAGTAAATAACAGGGTGAGAACGTGGTAAATCTGAAAAGGGGTGGGCGGGTCAATCAGTGCTTTTGAAAACACTATTGGTTGGGTTTAGGGAAGGAGGGAGGATTGGTCGGTTGGTCAGTCAGTAAATCAGTCAGTCGGCAGCGGCCTCTAGTGGATGTACATGAGAACAGCAGGCGTGAATGGCACTCGTGAGATTTGAGATCTGAAAAAGCGTACACAGCGGCCTCTGGTGGATCCGCCAAAACAAAAATGTAGCTCCTGGGACATATTTGGTGATCTCCAGAAATGTATATAGGGGTACGTTTTCAGAATGAGCCTGGTTTGGAAGTAACTTTCACAAATGCTTGTAAAGAATCAACCCAGGCTCATTATGAAAGCGTCCCCCTGTGTACATTTCTGGAGATCGCCAAATATTTCCCAGGAGCTACATTTTTTTGTAGTTTTTGTTTTCGCGAATCTGCGAGGCCGCTGGCTGACTGACTGACCAATCCCCCAACCACTCTCATCCTTAAACCTAAAAAAGCCCTAACTAAAAAGCCCTCGCAGCCGCCTGATTTTTACCACGTTTTCAGACTTTACCACATTCTAACCCTGTTATTTACTTTGTTTTGTCTCACCTGCTTTCTGGAACCGTTCTTCATCGGACTCAAACCCAACAACACCAGTCGAGCTACAGGACAAACTGTTAACAACAACAAAAACACTCCATACAGAGCAAAGTGGTCAGCTGGAATGGGCAAAAAGGAACTGTGTCATACCGCCCTGTAGCGTTCATATTTAAGTCTGCATGCAGCCATGCCGACATCTGGATACATAATTCCTGCTCTCCAGAAATGTTTACAGGGCTACACTTTCAGAATGAGCCTGTGCTGTAAAGAATATATAAAGTCAACTGGAAGTGGAAGTCAATAGTGACCAACAAATCCAGAAGTGAGAGACTCATTTAAAGGAGAGCTATGATGAGATACACAGAGAAGCCAATGACACACACACACACACACACACACACACACACACACACACACACAACTGAGCCAAACCTGACAACAGTGGGATAAACTGAAGGAGAATATTCTGAAAAATGTCAGTATTCATGTGGTGTCACGGTGGCTCAGTGGTTAGGACTTTGGCCTTACAGCAAGAAGGTCTCTGGTTCGAGACCCGGCTGGGTCAGTTGGTGTCCAAACACATGCGCTATAGGGGAACTGAGCAAATAAACTGACCGTAGTGTATGAGAGTGAGTGTGTGTGAATGAGTGTGTATGGGTGTTTCCCAGTGCTGTGTTGCAGCTGGAAAGGCATCCGCTGTGTAAAACATATGCTGGATAAGTTGGCGGTTCATTCCGCTGTGGCGACCCCTGATAAATAAAGGGACTCAGCCGAACAGATGAATGATTGACATTCTCCCTTTGTGCGTGCTATCCTCGATTATCAAAAGGATGAGTGAGCATGTGTGTGTGTGTGTGTGTGTGTGTGTGTGTG